CTGCTGTTTGGAGACACTACACCAGATTAGTTGACCCTTTGGCTGGATCCGGTGCAGCTTTTCACAACTGAGCCAAAAAATAAGGACTTTATTTCAGGGCCAGTCTTAACTGACTTTCATAGACTAGTAAACAGGTGCTCTTGTTTCAGCTGTCTTGCCACGCACAGGCAAGTTTCACAATATGCCTTTCTAAACAGGAGGTAGAGGAGGTCATGGTGCTTTCTAGGTCAAGGAGGGGCTTCTAAAGCATATGTTTTCTGGAATGATTTTGTATGTGGTAGGGTTTTTTGCATCTAATGCTTACAGGAAGAAGCAGAACATTTATATGCTTTCTCTATAAGAAGCTTTATATTAGAAATGGGTAGGGTTGTGTTGCATTCAAGTTGGGTATTGGCAAACACCATCCTGAGTTAAAGACAAAAGCACAGCAGAAGAATCAAAATCAAATAGTTCAGCCCAGCAAATGCCAGAATAGAAAACTGTCAACTCTTTGCCTCAAAAGCAAGTATCTTCTGGTGAGTTACGTGTGGACCTAGAAGCTTGCAGGCTGGATGGAAAATATTTTGTGAAACTGAAGAAATTAATCCTACCTCCTGCCACAAATACCACTACTTATTACTGACAACACAAATGCTTTATGTACCTTCTACTGGAAACATTTTAAATAACCATACACAGACAGATCTTATCTAGGAAAAACATGCACTAATTTGATTTTCATATCTGAAGAATGAACTTACACGCAAAAGCATATATGCCCTTTGAGGCATTTTGTGTCCTCCCAGAGAAGTCTCCTCCCATAGTCTGTAAACAGAAAAGGCCAAGGGTAGTGTGTGGTACAAACAAGTCAGGCTACCTGATTGTATTCCCAAGAACATACTAGGAAGTTACTGTATGTGTATATATATATGTTTTGATGCCAATGAGATGATTAGAACAGTGCAATTCAGGATAAAATTAGTTTGCTGCTTCCCTATCAGTTCACAAAGCAGCTTTGGACTATGCAAAGCTGCAGCTGAATACCTGCAAGGGTCTGCAGTGCCGCACAAAGCACTTTCTCCCAGGAGAAATGCATAGCCTTGACAATGCAACCCAACTGCCTCTGGTCAGAGGAAATGAAGCCTCATATCTTAGGGCATAGGTTGAATAAAGTTTTCATTGCTACTTGCAAAAGCTCACGTGGTACCAAAAATGCATCAAACTTCCAGAGCAGACAATGCCTAACTCCTTTGACCAAGGTACCTTTAATCCCAGCTTTTTCAGTTGGTGCTGTCCTGACTCTACCATTTTTGTAAAAATGCCTCAGGTTTTAAAACATGACTCAGTCATACAATCACAGAATGGTTTGGGTTGGAAGGGACATTAAAGCTCAGCTAGTTCCAACCCCCTGCCATGGGCAGGAACACCTTCCCACTAGACACCAGGTTGCTCAAGTCCCCCATCCAATTCGGCCTTGAACACTGCCAGGGATAGGGCAGTCCCATGACACAGTCAGTTCAGCAGAGTTTAACAGGCAGCACTCCAGTCTCATGCTACAGCTATTGTCCTTGCACTACTTCTGCACCCTAGGGAAAGGAACTTCACTGCCTATAATTTTAGTCCCTCACACTTGTATTCCCGTAACTATTCCGAGATGAGTATGTTCACCCATTCAAGTGCAATGGAGGCAGCCTGTGTCCAAACTTCTATAAACTTCCAAATTGCCTTCTGGATTACTGGAAGAGATCAACAGCTCACTGCATATCACTAATGATAGGAGATCCTAGCCTAAAACTTGGCTCCAACACTGGAATGACAGCAACTGATTACTCAAACTGATAGGCTAGCCTAGCTTAGTCCAGATCACTGTGGTCTGGGGTAAAGGCCTCTTGCAGAACAAAACAGCATTTTGGACTCTGCTATCATGCTGTGAGGAAGGAGTTTCCCACTTTCCTTCCCTACAGTTTCCAGAAGGAGGTTAAAAAGACAAAACAGTTGTTTAAATCAGAGCAGATCATCTCTGAGGCAGTAAACACAATCTTCAGGTCTCTTGAAGCTGCAACTGGTAGACTGGAAGGAGTTGTTAGAAAGTGAACACACCAACTTGCCCGCTTCACAACAATACCAAATCACTTAAATGTTTATGTGCAACAAGAAGCTTATTCTTTTACAATTGCTAAAGTCTTTGGAATGCCTCCAAACTCTCAAACACAGTATAGAAAACAGCCTTTGTCTCAGAGGTAGGCTAACAGCCCCACTTTGCAAACTGGAGTTCAGCAGCAACAGCAAGGGATAGCTGTGACTAACATGTTAAGATACCCTAAGTCTTTAAAAAGCCAGCTATGAGGGGATTTTAGTATGATTTTCCTCACAACCTCAAAGGAACCCCAGTAATACATAAAGCTACCAAAAAAGAGGATTAAGAGCTGACAAAGTATTAGCTTTAAGGCAAAAAAAAAACAAAAACACCCCAAGGTCCAAACTCATTACACAATCCTATTATCATAGAATAATTAGGGTTGGAAAGGACCTTAAGACCATCTAGCTCCAACCCCCCTGCCATGGGCAGGGACACCTTACACTAAATCATTATTCATTATCATCATCAAGGAGGTTTACAATGCTTCAGATAAAGCTAGAGAATTTGAGACCTTGGAGAAGAACTTACATGTGTCTTGCCACTGCCTGTCTGGCCATAAGCAAAGCATGTTGCCTTCCCACCCTCAAAGATAGTCTCCACAAGAGGTCTAGCAGTGAACCTGGTAGGTAAAAGACAGTTAAGACAAATATTTCACACCCTGCTTCATCAATTTTCCTAAAAAGAAAGGAAAACAAGAGCAAATAAAAGCAAATCCTTTGGAAATCAGCAAGACCATGCCAAAAATAAGATTTAGACTTTTCAGTCCTTTGGTTTCCTCCAAAAACGATTTTAATACTTATTTCAGGTTGCAGTTTCTTTAAGCTCAGATGCTGTCTATCCACAGCTCCATGCTTTAAGCTTTGAAGTTATTCTCAGCAAGAAGAAAGCATTACCTGTATACCATTTCATTAGAAGAGGTTTCATCAAATGAAAAGTCAAATCTAAATGCCTGGGTGTCAAGGTATTTTGTTAGGTCCACTTTCTGCTTTGGCTCATGCACCAGCAGGACACACTTGCTTGGAACGGTAATGACATCACATTCCTTTTTTTGCAGTTCTGTAGGCAAAAAAGACCCTCAGTTTTAACAAGAGTAAGCAATGTCAAACTGCTCTAAGGCACAGCTGCTTTGTCAGTACACTCACCTTGCTTATTGAGAGGGCGCTTCCTCACACAGACACAAATCCTATGCTCTTCCATCTAAAAAAAACCAAGTAATTATTTCCCAGTTAGACCCATATCTCCTTAGTATTACAGAGAGAAAGATCTGATACTCCCTGATACCTACTTTTCTATATGCTGATCAGAGTTGACTCCACTACTGATCAAACCCACTCATACAGGGATGCAAGGCTTAAAAGTCTGCTCAGTGCAAAAGCAGCACTACAAACAACAGCTTTACATAGCATGCTCCAGCATATTAGGTGGAAATGCTGCCATGCTATAGAAAGTGCCCCAAATATCCTGTATCAGAATTAGTAGAAAGTTTAGCCCTTGGCCAGCTTTCCAGTAAAAACTGCCATATCAATACTGCTACTATAGTCAAATCATCTTAATTTACCCCAGGGGTGTTTTTTGACCTGGGATATTTTACTGATGCAGTAAGTTTAGCAATTTGTCCAGGTGAGTTTGGTAAAGCAGGAAAACCGCATATTCCACTATGTGAGGCAGAAAGCAGATGGCAAACTCTTCTTCTATCATGTGGTGATGCTTACACCAGCAGCTGGTTGTCAGCCCCATAGGATGCAGGCACACAAACCACCTAGTGTTCTAAGCCAATCAACACCTACTTTTTCTTTTGAGCTGAAGTACTACCATTTTTCACTGACTAACACCTGAGAACAAGTAGTCCTTGTTTAACAAAAGCCTTGTTAAACAATGCTACCTTTGTAATTGCTGAAGATAAACTGAGCCTAGTTTTATGGGTTTGTTTTGTTTTAATTCTTGACCTCTACTTTTGCTCCTCCACTTTTTGACCTAGTTTAAAATTACTTAATATGTTAATATTACAATAACACTTCCAGGGCAATAATCCATTTTAAGTTATACCTACAACAAGCTAAGTTACGTAATTGGCTCTGCTGTTTACAGGCTCTGGAAAGTACTGATGTTACCATGCAAATAATGATAATTGTTGAAGTGCAAGCTCTATACTAATAACACATGCAAAGCAGTGCAAGGCAGCTTAGCCCTAAAAAGGGAAGGTAAATAACTTCACATATACCACCAGGTACCTCAAGATCACAATACACTCAGAGGATTTCCAAGGTACAGTGATGCACTGAATTGCTCATATACTAACAACTTCAGTGCAAAATAGTCTGTCCACAAGCTGCAGCTTCAGTATTTACTTACTGGATCGGTTATACTTATTGGCTGGCAGTCTAAAGTTGCTCTGAATTCCTTGATCATCTTTGCAAACTCCCAGTTTGGACAGCTGCTGTCAAATTCCTGCATGGAAAAAAAACATGGATGCGTAGGTAATTAACATGTAACAGCAAAAAAGCCCCAGAGCATGATAAACCATCAGGTGTATGCAATTAGAATTATTTCTCAATATTAAGAACTTTCCAAAACTATAATCAATCCATCCTTATGTACAGCTTCATATGAACTGAGCCTGTCAAAAACATGGTTTAGTTTCAAGCATTGTGATACACTGTCTTTAAGCAATGTCCCAATACAGGTGCATTGTAGAGTACTCCACCTGTGCACGCTTGGTCCTGATTTCACTGATTTGAGCTCTCTTCTCTTCCCTCTTGTTTTTCATTTTCTCCATCTCTTTCACAATGTTGGATCTTCTCCGAACTAGATAAAAGCATTTCCTTGAATTAAATCTCCACACTAGGTTTTAAGCACAACACAAGTATTTCAACTTCTCCAGGTTGCTGCCAGACTAGCTTGTACAGGAAACAATTATCTTCAGAAGGATGTAATTCATCATGCAGTATTTCCTCCTCCCAACCAGATCTACCCACCACGAACTTTTCAGGAAGTCCCACTGCCACTCTGAAGTAAAGGCAGCATTTCTAAGGTGATACACCACTGTAATAGAATTACACACCTGTAACAAAAAATACTGACAACACTCAGTCTTACTGCCAAAGCCACCTTTTTCAAGCTTTAGCCTTGGCGAATACAGAGCAGCAATCACATAGTGATGCATCACTGACTGGTGAGGCAGTTCTTACCCACAGCTCCATGGTACCTGGGCTCACTGAAGAGATTCTGCCAGGAAGCAGGTGATCCTCTGTATTTCCATTGAGATTTGTCACTGAGGCTTCTGGAACACAGTTCAGCTTGCTAGTCCTGGTTCTGCCAGCTGCAGAAAGAAGCCAGACCAAACCCAGTAATTAGATCCCTAAGATCAAGAACAGTTTTATAATCAGTAAAGCCTTGTAGATCATAGGCATTCCTCAACTCTGATTCTGGATCAGGAGAGAGAGCTGGCTAAAAACCTGTGACAGGTGTGCAAATGTTATTTTTTGAATCTTTTGCTGACCACCAACTTTTATTCAAAGCTACAAATCAAGGCCACACTAACTAGACAAGAACTTAGTACCAAGTCTCTTATTTCAATGTCTTGTAAGCAGAACTTAATACAACAAGGCATGCCCTCCGCTATTCATTGTGTAGGTCTAGTAAAGACATAACTACAATTTAGTAATTTAAGTAGGCTCAAGTTCTTGCTTTGATCAACCCATGTAGGTAAAACTACAACCAGTATAGTTACAGAGCATGTTGTCAGCAGTATTAAGGCACTTCCTTTCCCATTCTGGTGCTGTGAGTACCACTTTATGCTGTTAAGCAGATCCCACATCCACAACTGCAGCTATGTGCTTAATAAAGCCCCTCAAGGTAGGAACCCTGAATATTTACATTCTGATAGACCTCTAGGCCTCTCTTCCTTTATATAAAGGAGTAGGAGTTGCTCATTCCCTTGGGATTTGCAGTTTACCTATTTAAATGCATACAACCCATGTTGCCTCATGGTAAAAATTCACTGGGTTCTTTCTCCACTCACCAGGAACAGAGGAATTGTTTCTGGTTTGTGTAGAAGTGCAAGGATCTACCCCCATCTCATTTTCCTGGAGGCTGCACTGTGATTCTGCAATAACAGACATCCTGGAACGGCCACGCGCAGCTTTGGAAACACAAATTCAAGGTCAGTATCATGCCTCAGACACCGAGACATTTGCAAGTATTCAAATGCTCACAAAGTGCAGAACAGAAGGGAACAAGATGTGCTATAAGGATATTTTTCCAGATCTCTGATGCATTAGCAAAGTTTATCAGTGAAAATGCAGGGGGGTGAAAAGTGATCGTGAAATACACCGCTACGGGAAAGCAAGCAGTTCATTCCAGATTTGCAGTTCCATTGAATTTCTTTCAGATACCACTAAGGATTCACTAACATGGAAGCTCCAGAACCATAATACCTAGGAAGGAGAAAGTTACAAGTTTGTGAAATCTTCTGAAGCTTCACACTTGCAGGGCTGTGTGAATTAGTTGTTTGATGGTGACAGTAGTACTGCAACCTGGCAGTGGTCATGGGCAGCATCATGCTCACCATCCCAGCATCCACGCTCAGACAGGGTGCGTGGTGCACGGTGGAGGGGGAGCTTGATAAATGCAGCTAAAAGACTGTATAATCACAACAGCAAATCTTTGGACAAGGTCCTTTTATAGGGAGGCTCCATTGTTACATGCCAAGGTTATTTCTTTCAGAGAGAAAGTCCATCATCACAAAGCTTCCTAGGGGAGGGTTTGGAGCATACACCTTAATAGATTTGTAAAGACAGCAAACCTGATATGAATAAACAGAAGTGTGATATGCAAACTAGAGCTACCTTCACCTCTAGCAGCCACAAGAATTGATCCAGAATTAATCACTATGATTTAAAAGGATACCAGATCTATTTCAGACCAAGGTTTAATTTCAATTCTGGATCAAATTCCCAAGAACCATATCCACAAAATTCAGTGCTGCTATATTAACTCTTTACCTGGAGTCCTCTGCTCAGGTGTAGAGACATTAGGTGTTGCTGCTGCAACTTTAGGAACAAAAGGCATCAGTTTCATTACACTCAGAGGTAGCATTTTATTCCATTTGTTTGTCACACATGCCCAGACCCGATCTCATCACAAACTCAGCAGCACATTTTCTGTAATGCTAGCACTCCTGGGCAGGCATATTGACTGGAGAATTGCTGCAGTCAAATGGGTTTGATTCAGGTGATTCTTATATGAGGTGATATGCAGTATCCTCCAAAACTCTTATTGATTTTTGAATAAGAATTTTGAATTCTTGTCAAAGAAACAGGACTAAGGCACTGTTTCTTAATTCATCCTGAAAGCACTGCTTCTGCTTCTCTCACTTCCCTGAGTGAGATGGAAACAGACACCTCCTGGATCTTGTTTAGTTTGTATGGAGCAAGAACCAAAACCTGTAGCTGGTGATAGCTTTCTATTTGGCACAGTACAGCTTGCAACCAGATGGACACTCATTGACACTCATGGGGTTTAGCTAGTTATAACAACAGATAACACTATTTGAGGAATACTGAAAACATTGCTTCTCTCTTGTACTCTGAGCAGGTCTTCAGGGACAAAAGTGAGCCTGTAGGAAAGGCAACAGATTTCAGATTTGAAATTAGATTCTATAACTTCAGGAAAGCCATGACCTCTGTGAGGACATTTTCCCATCTATCAGTGGCTCAATTAACACACATCTTTTTCCAGCTGGCTGCCCAACTCCATTAACTGACCTGTCTAGAAGCAGTCATGACCATTGCATCATTCTGCTTGCCAGTTCACAAAGTTTATGGATTTCACAAAACCCTCTGGATTTGAGGAAGATCAGGATGTTCTAGCACAGAACAACTTTTGACATATTAAGCTTCTTGGACTACTCCTGCCTCTCTGATACAAAGGGATTTGTTCTGTTGTCTGCTGGTACTGACTTCCCTGTCTTGCATCACACACAAACAAGGCCAGACAAGCCCAGCTGTTTTGTTTATAGCTCAGTTGCATGGGAAAGCACAAGTTTCAGCTAACTACACTCTTGAAGAAAATCATCAAATTAGCAACCATTCAACCTCAGCATCACACAAGTTTATTACAAATAGACCTGTAATGCTGCCACTTGCAATTCAAAAAGCTAACAGAATCAACTAATAAGCTAAAAGAAGGTAAAAAACATGAGAGTTCAATTCCTGACACCTCAAGAAAAGCCTCTTAGTGATTTAACACTCTGACATCTCTATCTTCTCTTCTGGCTTTGCTCAAAAACATTGCACTGACATACAATCACTGAGCTACAGCACACCAGCTGGCACTTTGGCTGCCTGGTCCAAAACATCTCCAAGGATAAAGCTCTAGTTATTATCTAAGGGTACTGTTTGAAGAGGATACATTCATTTGTCACTGCTATTTCTTTCTTGCCCTTTCCACTCTCATTTTGACACTTTTAATTTTAATAAGTGCCACTTACCTTTTGTTGTTCATGGCATTTGCAAAAGCTCCATACGAAACTCCTATACTCACTGCCACAGAACTGCCTAGTGACATTTAAAAGCAGCATCAAGGAATAACTACAGCAGTACTGCAGAAAAGGGCAACACGTCAACAAGCCGCAGCTCACGGGAACAGGACAGCAATCTATTAGCAAAGTTTCTGCACTCCAAAATGTCAGTATGAAACATTATGCTCTTTGTTAGCACTGTCTGAACAAGCAGCCTTACAATTCCACTGAAGACTATTAGGACTACAATGAAAACATACCACTGTTTTACAGGGGTATAGCACAGAAAAGAATATTTCCTCACCTTCCCTTGGAGCAGGGATTTTTGAAAGGGTTGATCTACGCTTCTGTTTCTGAAAAAACAATGAATGCTGTCAGTTATCAGAGTAAGCTGCAGATCCCTAGCACAGCACTTCAAGACAACATTAATATAAGAATTTCTGACCAAAGTCTAACTACGAGATAGAAAAGACAGGCTAGAGATCTGGATTTTATTTATAACAAGACCTATGCTGCTGACACGTTAGTACCTTAGGAAAGACCAAACCCGTTTAAAGCACTTACCTGTACACTTACATTCTCTTGGAAAGGAAAGTTCTCTTTCAGATCAGCAGCAGGTAGTTCTGATAACTCAGGATTTATTGTTATTACATCTTTAATATCAATCTACAAGAGCAAAAGCAGAATTTTAGAGATCAGAATATTGCTGCTACCACTTACAGCATGTTTATTTTCTTTTTAACCTTTACTTCCAGCACATGCAAACAAACCTGACCCACTGCTGCCAAACACTAAATTAAAAGACAGCAGTTCATGTTCTGAGGAGTCTCCTACATCCAAATATGCGGGAAGAAATGTGCCCCCTAAGCCATTTACCCTCATCTGCCAAACGCCATGCAGTTCTGCAGGTACATTAGAGCACTTCTGAAGACACAGGCAAAGCATATTTAGCATGAGCTACTTTAATCTCTTACTGCTAATCTTAGTAAATCTCAGCCACTCTGTGGCTTCGGCACTAAGAGAGCATTAAGCATTTACTGTGATTGTGCTTACTGAAATAAACTTCAAAGACTTTGGGAAATGAAGGATTCAACATTTAATCCACAAATCGATTCACCTGCATTTTCACTTGCTATTCTGAGTAATTTCACCTAGGGCCAGCTACTGCTGCCTGCCTGACCCTCCAGTGATCACAATCCTGGTCTGGTGCAAGAAGAGGGAGCAACAGCAAGCAGGCAGCCAAGGGCAGGCTCTGGCACAAGAGACAGCGGCTCTCAATGTTCTGTTTTCCAAAGCTAACGAAGCTGCAGGGGCTGAAATCACCAGTGCACAAAAACTCTGGTGTCACAGCAGCTTGTGCTAGAATTCACTGAGCAAAGCAACACAAGCACTGCTTCAGGAAGTCCTTGAGTTCTCATTTAACTTGCAAATTACTTAAATAAGAGTCCATAAAAAGAGCAAAAACAAGCAGGTGAACTTTGTAAAAAGTGGAGATACCACATCCTAATACAACTGATCCATAAAGTTTGATTTATA